CTCGTACTCTTTCCCAAACCCGTCGCTGAGTTTGAAGCTCTGAATCCAAAACTGAAATGATCATTCCTCTCTCCATTATCAGTCTTCTTCGTGAAACCTAAAATCAAAACCAATAAGTTTTATGGATGAGTTTTATCAGTTAGTCTCAGGAAATTGCAAAATAGAACGACCCGAATCCATCCCGGTTTATTCCAATCCCGAATTTTATGAAACAAACTGGGACAACTTAAAACCCAGACCGTCCAGATTGGTGCCCACACGGATTGTCACGATCTGTGCCCACTAGTAGGGATGTAAACAAATCAAATATTTTAAATTCGATTCGCGATTTATATTCGAATATGATGATTCGAATTCGCGTTATTCAAATACAAATTCAAATTCAAATATTATTTTTAATTCAAATATTAATCAAATACAAATACAAATAGGGATATATTCGATTCGAATGATATTCGAATATTCGAATATATGTATATATACACAGACCATGTTTTCAATAACAAAAGTCAAGCAAAATAATACGTAGTATAGTATAAAGTGTATTTAAAATACTAAGAATTCAATAAATTAACGTAACACAAAAATCTAAAGCATATGATTTTTAATAGTTATATTTTATAAAATATAATTTGTGTAAGATACAAATGTATTAATGTTTTTATATACGGAATATAGTATAGTATAAAGAGTATCGTAAGTTAAATTACAAATTGATGTTGGTCCATCATATAAATTACGGAGTACATAGTATGATTATTTAAATATTCGTTTATGATTCGATAACTATTTGAATATTAATCAAATACTTATTCAAATCTTATTTTGAATTCGTCTCATATTCGGATTCGGATTCGTATTCGAAAAAATTAAACAAATACAAATTCAAATATATCGATATTCACTTCGATTCGGTTCATTTACACCCCTACCCACCAGTAGTTAGAGAAAGAGCCCAAACGTGAACAATATAGCGTAGCAGTCCGCGTGCCCAATCTCAAATCCAACTATAGTCTCTCTCTCTCTCTCTCTCTCTCTCTCTCTCTCTCTCAATTCAGCTGCGGCGAAGGCGCGAAGCAACATTGAAGCAGTCAAGCAAAGTCAAGCATCTATCCGGATCGAAGCCAAAACCGCAGCAGCTTCCGTCGCCCAGACCGCAGCCCCGGCCCTTCTCTCTCTCTCTCTCTCAAATCTGAAACAACGAATCTGCCGAATCCAAGCCCAACAAGCGGCTCCATCTCTGAATCCGACGTTGCAGTCAACGAAACCCTGTCTAAATCGCAACTGAGACCGGTTCAACATTGGACATCCACGGCTCCTATCACAGACCAACGGAAGCTGAAAGGCCATTTTTGTGAGTTCTTGGATAGTTAGTATGAATTTTGAATTTGAAAAGTGTAAGTGTTTGACGAAATCTAAATGACGATTGGCCTACTATAATGTATTTGTTTGAGTAGGAGAAGGTTGCTTTGCTCGAACCTGTGATATTTAGGTTCGGAGAACAGTTCTTAATCTGTAACTATCATTCGATTCTTGTCACATAGCATGATGGACTCCCTATCTCAAAATTCATCTTTGCAGAGGCTTCAGAATGTTGAAAAGGTTATACATGTGGATGCAATTTTAATGTAAAATCTGTAGGAATACATATGGTTAATTCTCACGGTTAACGTATGGTTGGTTTCAATGGCAGAGGATAGTTAAGGTTTTGGAGCTTGCTGGTGGAGTTATGGATGAACTGGCGAAGCCAAGCGGGCCTAGGAAGGAGCTCATTCACAACCAATGCAGCGAATTTATGCAACTAATCAAGGTCTTTTTCAGTTTTTTAAATTTGTCCTTTCTCGCCATTGTGTTTTTATATGGATAATTTATATGAAGAATTACCTAAAAACTTTGTGTGGAATGTCCTTATTTTCAATGCTGCATAGACATATCTATAGTTTTGCAATTTTTGCACTTGTGTCTGTTGTCTTTTTCCTTGGTTTTTCATGAGAAAGCACTTGATATGCCATTATGCCCTTTTAGTACCATCTTTAGAGGTAAATGATTGCAAACTTGTGGTTTAGCAAACTTGTTGAAAGTGTATTCCACAGGGTGGATTGAGCAAATAGGTGACATATTGGATTTAAGCACACACAATGCAGGATATTCAGGTGACATTGAGAGAGGAAATTAAAAGTGCTTGTGAATACCGTCCATTTGAAAAGTGTGATTATGTTCCAAGAATAGCCAATGAGATCTGTTGCAAGAAACTGGAATGTGTCATTGCACAACTAGATGATATGAAGCAGACAGTTGAAAAATATCACGGCTTAACATGAAGTCATATCTTCTTCTTCTTTCTTATCATGTAAGTAGATTTCAATTCATGTTCCCCCACTCCGAGCATTCAGCCATATTCCCATTTTACTTCTTAATGATAATCTCATTATTGCTGCTTAACCATCTTCGGACAAAAGCAACGCCTGCATATTTATTCCTGATATCTCTCTTAATTTTTTTTCAGTTTGCATATTCAGGTGCCATTTGTGAACTTATTTAGGATGAATATATATTCTTGAAGTTGTTCATGAAGTTTTTTTTTGCATCTAAAGAAAGAACCAAAAGTGTAGTGGTACTTGTGCTGTCAACTTATCCGATTGGTTCTGATCTGATTCGATTAAGTTCTGATCTGATTGCAGTTATATTTTAAGTTGTCCCAGAGCTGATCTGATCTAATTCCAATAAGAAAAAGTAACAAGTAAAGAGAATAAGTCAAAGAGAACAAGCTCTAAGATCCTCAACTTCTGCTTTTCATGTGATAAACCCAAACCTATGTATCTTTTCATATCTCAAATTCTCAATATCTCTGTTTGTCATCTATTATTTGTTCCCACAGTAAAGTTTAAACAATAGCAGTGCAAGGAAGAAACCAGAAAGTGAAGTGATAGAACGAATTGGGATTCCGTGCGTTGATCAATGACTGTAACAGAGACTCCTTGTATTGAATCTGCATCTGAATCCAGGTGCAAGACTTAGTTGTACTATATCATTGAGCATCATCCTTCTACGAACATCTTTCCCAATAGTTCTTTTCCTTGTTTCGTTATGCTGTTATGGAGATTCGTCAAGATGTATCTTGTGCTATATCTACCTGCTATGTGTTTTCAATGATCAATTATATGTAGTCTATTAGTGTCGTAATCGAATGAAAATCAAATTTTGTTGTGGTAAACTAACTGAAAAATGTTTAGAAAAAAGAGTCATTATAGATTTCAGTTGAAGTTCCCAAAGGACTTCAAAAAAAAAAAACTAACTTACTACTCCGCTACAGATTGAAACGGTGCGGGGTCGAGGCACCCGCCCGCTTCCCATCCCAGCAGGGAAAAATTATCATATCCCCAATATCCATTGATTACACATATTTCTGAGGAAAAAAAAGAATACCGGGTTAAACATTCAAATGAAACAAAATTTAATGGACATAGCATATTTAAAAAGCATATATTTAATGAAAACCAGGAAGGATAATTTTGGTCATTATCTTGATGAATCGGTTAAATTGAATTTGGGACACTAGGTTTTAGGTATTGAAGGTCGCCGACTAACAATGGTACTTAAGATTGATGTAGAGAAGATGAATGAGGCATTAGGCATTTGTTCAGGAGAGAATTAGTGGTCTTGGCTAAAGCACGATTGCCATGAGGTGTGAATATTGAAACACGAGATTGAAACTTAGAGAAAAGGCGTTGTCCACGACTAAAAGTGTAGGTGAGAATATGAGGATCAATACAGAGTAGTTATTAGATACAATGACTATTCATGGAGTGGGCAGGATCTGAATCATTTCAGCTTAGTTATATTAGTCTTCGATCTCTAGACGCTCATATTTCACTTCCAATTATTTCATGGTCTATCCCTTTTCTCGACCCCCACCCGCCCTCTACCATAAGCTCCATCATCTTCACACTCGGGCTTTAATGCTTTGTTGCTTTACGTGTTTAAACCACCTAAATAGGTGTCATTTTCACCCATTCTCAGATAACCTCGATCCCAATCTTATCCAACATTGTCTGTCCACATATCCACTGTAGCATTTGCATCTCTATCAAATGCAATCAACAACACTGATTTTCTTAACCATCTAGACCTTACCTCAAAAGTTTTACAAAATAAGAGGTGACGTGAATATTTTATTTTATCATATCAATAAAACACATAAGTGAACATAAGTTATCAAGATGCTAGAATAGTAACAAAGTAATCTGTTTTGGGATGAAGGGAGTATTTTAGTCTTATTTAGGTGTATTTCTTATTACCTTCGCCTCAGTGTATTGTCCAATTTGATTTTTTCGTGTCAAATTGAACAAACTTTGAATCTCAATTGAATGAAAACTGTAATGTATATAAGTATAAAATGATTTTATTATATTTAGCTTGTTGAAAATTATCAAAATTTTATTTCATTATATTAGTATGCAATGCAAATTGATGCAATTGACGATCAAAGGTTGTTCAATTAGATTTGAGAAAATCAAACTGGATGAATACATTGAGACAGAGGGAGTATCGTGTATTAGGTGTCATTTTAATTTGTTCAACTGTCCAGATCTTTTAGATGATATACAATAATATAGATGTTCTTATTTACTACGTATATACGAATTTCAACCATGTCAGCTCCTTTATTCTCATTCTTTCTTATTATGGCTGATTGATAGTGGTCCTCTATACATAGACTATGTAAACTCTTAACTGATCCTCTAAATTTTAGATGACCCATTGGAACCCATTTATATGTACAATGTAGTGTTAAAACCTCCATTTTTTAGACTTTAAAAGTTCACTTAAAGATGCTCTTATATGTCCAGAGTGAGCCTTGGAATAATACTTTTTGTAGTAAATTAAAAAAAACTTGGAATTCACAAAATCATATGGATAGAGAATATTGTTCATTGATTCATCCCACAATTAATCACTAACAAAAAAAACACAACAAGACATAACCAACACACAACCTTAGACCATCTCTAATACATTTACGCCAAACTCAAACTCAAAAATCGAAATACAACAAAACATCAAATCAAACAACAATTCATCCTCAACGTATTACACGAAAATCAAACTCAAAAGAACATTCTCACCGTAGAATCCTTTTCTTGTTCTTGAATAATCTTTCTCACCACACATATATAGCTCACAAAAGCTGGCATTAAACAGTGGCCGAGCTGTGAAGGGCGTTCATGGCTTCAAACCTGGGCTCCTTCGCTTGGAACTTCAGCTCGGCATAGAGCTTCATGTACTCGTCGAACACGAACTTCGGATACTTCCCCTTGTTCTCCTCCACCAGCACCGCCGCCGGATAGATCACGGCGTCATTCCCCGGGTTGTAGAAGGACGCAATCGACATTCTGTTCCCGTTCGTCTGGGCTATCACTCTGTGCATCACGCTCTTGTACCTCCCGTTTGTGATCACCTGCATAACATATGTTAGAGTATAAAAACCTTTTCTAGGCGTACAATTACAAGCTTGAACTTTTGGTTGTGTTGGATTTTTGGACTGCTAGATGACGAAGTTACCTCGATCTGGTCGCCGATGTTGATGACGATGGAGTGGCGCATGGGGGGAACGTCGACCCATTGGCCGTCCTTGAGAAGCTGGAGACCGCTGACTCTATCGTCCTGGAAGAGGAGGATGATGCCGCCAGCGTCAGTGTGGGCCCGGAGGCCCTTGATGAGGTCTGGGTTTGGACATGGAGGGTAGCTGCTGACCTTGGTGCCAAAGTTAGGACCCTCTGACCCACAGAAGGCATTCTTGAGGTACCCTTTCTCCAGTCCCAGATTCTCACACAGCAAATCCAGCAGCTTCTCAGCCAGTTTCTCCAACTCCATTGCAAATTCCTTCATCACCCTCCTATAGTCATCTTCAAGATCTGGGACTTGGGAGATGTTAGAGGAAGGGAGATGCCTCAAGAAGAAAGTGGATTCCCAGTCAAGATCATTGACCTCATTCTGGACACCATCAAGTCCCCTTGAAGCCACCATTTCCTTGAACCTTTCCTCCATGCTCTTCTTGTAATGCTCCTTTGTCAACTTCTCCACTCTGTCCAACAGCTCAACTGGTATCCCATGATCCACCACCTAATGACCATGAACCATTCACTATTAGCATGTCCTTAGAACAGACTCATCTGTTAATGAAATCCATCTTTGTAAGTTATCATAATGGTTTCATTACATTTATCTTGTTAAGAATTCTCAAAACTGATTTCATTGTATTAATAGACAATACAAATTGAGAATAGTTTATGATAAAAATTTATCAAGTTTGACTACAAAAAGTCAAACTAGACAGAATATGTTAGGACGGAGAGAGTATATTTTAGTCTTATTTAACTAGATTTCGTTAACAACACACACAACTGTGCAACCCAATGTGAACAATTAACAATATGCCAGAGAAAATATAATATTAAATGAGAAAGAAGATTTTTTTAGAGAGATTTTTTTAATAAAAAAACACCTCAAAGAATCCCCAGTTTTGGCAAGCATCATTAATTAGTGCCATAGTGGAAGCCCTTTCTTGAGTGTTATTGAGCTTCTCCAGGCTAATAATGGGGAAACAAGCCATAGCCATTTCTCTCTCTGTCTCTGTAACTCACTCACTCACTAAGTATGTTTAAAGGACAGATGAGGAAAGATAGGTCATGCATGGAGGAGTATTTATAGTCCTATGAGGGCTTTATTGATCAATTTAGGGAAATGAGAATTCAAAAGCTTTTTGGATAAGCTTTTTATTTATTTATTTTGGCATACATTTTTATTTATTACAATATACTTCTGTACATTATAACGTATATTACTTTTTTTAGCAGGATGATTCAAACTGTTTTATAATGTATATTTATCTTTACAATCATTTTCATTTGAATTTTTGGTTATATATTGTAAAAGTTTTGGATAAGTTATTACTAGAGTATTCCCTCCATCCCAAAAAATATTCTTAGTTTGTTTTTGGTTAACCATCTCCACATTTTGACCATTAATAAATACAGCTTTAGATAAATCAAGGTTAGAATTTTTTTTGATATATTAAAATCACATCTTAGCTGAACTCAATAATATTATATTTACACTAAAATTAAAATATTTTTATAATGTTTTGAAACATAGAGAGTTTAAAACAATCTTATTGGTTTTTTTTTTTTGAAAAAAAAACAATGTTATTGGGTGTGAACCAATAATATTGTGGGTGTTTGTTCGTTCTCTTCAATTTATTTTTATCATATATTACTTTTTGTTATTGGAATCTGTTTAGATCAGAACTTATTTCAATTCTAAATATTTCGTATCATATCTAGTCTAAAGAACTGGGGATCTTAAAGTTCATGGAGAAAAAGAGAATTTACGAGATTAAAGTCATCAAGTATAACTTCTTTAAACATATATTTTCATTGATTATTTGATCAAATAATATAATACTATAATTTAATTTTTTTATAAAACTTCTGAAGTAATTTTTTAAATGTATAAATTTTAGTTTTAAATTTTACAAAATGTTCAAATTAATTAATTTTGAAATCATATCAATTTATAATTCAAAATGAATTATTACTCCTTTTTTCAAAATTATACTGTAGTATTTATTTTCTCTTTAGGGACATTTAAAAAAGAAATATTTTTTCTATTTATAGCTCATTTTTTCTCTATTTTCTGTATCATTTTAAATAAAGCTTTGTTTGGTACGCAAAATTCAGACTATAAAGTTAGAATTAAAGACTACAATTCTAATTCTGTTGTTTGATAACACAAAATATGTATATTTGAAATTCGTAATACCAAAAATGAATTAGCATTGGAGAATTCAGTTTCATCAAAATCAATTCTAAAAAATTTTAATTTCTAATTCAATTTCAATTTCATCAATTGTGTATATTAAAAAGACCCTAATGCAACTTCATTGATCAGTTCATGTCTTGAATCAAATTTAGATTACTATTTTGGGATGAAGAAGTATAAAATGAAAAAGAAAATCCCATACGGAGTTAAGTAAGTTGTAAGTAACCTTTAAACAGGTCACGTGATCACACATTTAAGTAAATTATAACATCCATAGTTGGATACACCAAATGAATACATCAATTAAAATAGAGGCGTGCTCGTGAGGGGCCAATAGAGGCCCTCCTTCCCCCAAAATAGACTAAATTTCCAAAATGCTATTCAATCACGGCCGGTTCTAGTGACACCGGAGAACGGTGCCACTAACGGTGCCACTGGGTTTTTGGGACAACTCCGGTGCTCCATTCGTAAAATTGACGGTTCCTACCCCCCTAACCCACCCCCTAAACCCCCACCTTACCCCTACTCCTACCCCTGCACCCCCACCCCAACCCCGCCGTAACCCCCCACAAAATGTGTGGCTATTATGCAATACATAATAGCCACGTAACCCCCCCACAAAATGTGTGGCTATTATGCAATGCATAATAGCCACACATTTTGTGGGGGGTTACGGCGGGGTTGGGGTGGGGGTGCAGGGGTGGGGTAGGATGGGGGTTTAGGGGGCTAGGAACCGTCAATTTTACGAACAGAGCACCGGAGGTGCCCCAAAAACCTAGTGGCACCGAAGTGGCACCGTTTTTCGGTGTCACTGGAACCGGATCGATTCAATAATTATGTAATTTTCTAAATTAGTAACCAAGATGAACTAATTATCGATATGATACTCACGAATTGAAAATAATACTCCATTCGTCCTAAAATTAACTTCCTATTTGACTTTTTACGGTCTCCCATGTGACACTTTGACCATCAATTTCTCAATTTCTATATAAATATATTTTATAAAAATTATATATTTCAAAACTATGTTTCAAAATGAATCTATTGCTAATAAATTTATATGAAAATTTAATATATTTTTTCCGTAATATATAGTCAAAGTTTAAAAAGTTTGACTACAAAAGTCAAACTGGGAAATTAATTTTAGGATGGAGGGAGTACTCAATTTAGTCTCCCGATTAACATCAAAACAGCGTCAAAACACCATTAAAACTTGTACTAATTTTCCAAATGGATCATGTATAATTGGATGTTTTTTAAATTAGTCTATTTTCGATGCAAGAACTCATTTAATATGAAAAACTGAAGCAAAATTTTTCCTTTTAATTGATTTACGGTGTTTGAGCGAAGTTGGGAGACCATTTTTATGAGATTTTATTTCGAAAATTAGCTAATTTGGAAAAAAGTTGTTTATAAATGATCATTTTAGAAAATAAGTATAAGTTTTAATATCGTTTTGGCTCCATTTTGATGATGGTTAGTGTGGGGGGACTAAACTGAGCAATTATTTTCAATTAATGAGTAGCATCTCGGTAATTATTTTATCTTAGGGACTTATTTGAAAAAAGCACATAGTTATTGAGTACTATTATAAGAATTTACTTCCTAATTGAGTGTCATGTCATTTTTTTTCATTTACTTTTTCCTTCCTTCCCCATTTTATTTCTTTTTTTAATATTATCTTTTAACACTTAATTTATATTTAACTATTTAAACTAAAAATTAAAATTAAATATTTCATTAAAATTAAATTTAAAAGGAGGTAAAAATAATTAAAAGCACATAACTAATTTAAACTTTCATTCAATTTATTTTTGGGGAATTTACTTAAATAACACTAAAACATAATGATTTCCCCTAAATAGCATCACACTTTCAAATGTACTCCCTCCATCCCTAAATGGGTTACAATTTTTTTCTCCTCTTGATAACTTTTGTTTTTTTACGCGATTTCATTAAGTATTTGATAAAATAAAATATTCTTATCACCTCTTGTTTTGTAGAACTTTTGATGTAGTTTTTTAATATGTAATTTTTATATCTTATTGATATATCAATTTGTAAATAAAATGATTTCAAAAAGTAGCAAATTTTACTCCGTAACACGCAATTTGTAATCAAATTGGGGACGGAGGGAGTATCTTTTAGCAAGGGCTGGCCGGCAAAGACCTCTATTTTCATCTAAAATATTCGTCAACGTTTGACTTTTTATATTCACACACACACACATATATCAACAACCTAGGTGCGTCCCTCAAGAGTATGACGGGGGTGCGTGTGTATGCGGACCTTGCTTAAGCTTGATTAAACAAACCAACCCACCGCGGTCCATATACTTCCAGAACTCTATTGAAATTTCATCCGGCCCCAAGGCTCTCCCACTTCACATCCTAAGGATGGCTCGAGCCGGCTCCTCTTAACTAATGCGCTGGCAATACCCAAAGTCACGAAATGCCTTAGACTGCCCCAAATCACTTAGTTCTAGCTTCGAATCTCCTCCCACATTTAGGAGGCCACAGAATTACTCCCCATCAATTTGCCACCCTTGCAGTCTTAAACATCACTCTACCATACCATCACTGCCCTTCACGCATCTCACATGATCTAGATCCCGAGCCTTCCTCTCACTTGCCTTGGGTAGCCAGAAAAGTCTATTATCATTGCCTACTCCTTTATGTCCTTATAAAGGCGTTCAAAAACTGCATTCTCCGCCCTCGTAACTTCTAACTTAGCTTCGTTACGGGCCATCTTATACTCTACTCGAATTATGAGCGGGCTATGTATTGGCTCAAATTAATAAGGTTGCCCACAACATTTATAGGAAATACTGGAGGGGTAAACATGTTGTCGTGCACCATTAAAGGCTTTAGAATATAAGTTAAAAATGCTTAATAGAGTTTAGTGTAAACACTTATATTAAGGTTATTTTGGCGGTACTTAAAAATTTCTAATCAGATTTGTTCTAGATGAAGCAAATGTCATTCTATATATGAAACGTACTAATAGGCTCTCATATTTAGAATGCAAACCCGATTAGACATGTTTGTTGACATGAACCAACACATTGTTTCAGGTAGTATTGGAATACTACAAAAGCATGCCAAACTCTAGTTTGGTTTGCAAGTCTTTAAACATTCGAGGACTACCATGTAGTATTTGAATATTATGACATCCAGAGTTCAGATCGACTTCTGTAAATTCTTAAACACTCAAATACTAGTGTTAGTATTTGTATTTGAATTGCTGAAAGTTGAGATAGTATTCAAATATTACTCACTTTTTTTTGCTGAGTAAAAGTAGTTGCTCAAAATAACCGATGACACTAACATCACCAACAAATGGATCCACTGGAAAGCCAAATTTATACTCCTTTTTTCAACACCTTTTTTTCATTTTCATCTGTCCATAATCTCCACCTCACCAGAATGGGTTTCACACACCAAGATTCCATCTCTTCTAATTGGCCTTAAGGGGATTATCTGGTTTTTCACCAAAGCAAAACCATTCTGTATTTCTGCTGTCTGTGTCTGTGTGTCTCTTTACAATCAATCATCAAAGTTCGCATTGGTTTAGTTCAGTCCCTCAGACAACAGCTGAACTCGCTGTAGTATTAGGCGCACCATCATCCCGGCAGAGATCTTGAGAGGGTGAATCCAAGTTGTCCCATAACTTGACAGTTCTCCCAATTGCAAGGATCAGTTCAAGCTGTTTCTGTTGTTGGTCCTGCAGATATATTCAAGAATGCAATGGAAAGTGAGATACGAGAAAGAGAGAGAGAGAGAGCTAATCAAGAACGGCGGGTGATCTAAATATAAGCAAGATTGATGATGATGGGATCATCATCATCATCATTTTGAATGGCAGCAAGATCCAACAATTATTAATTTCACATATAAAAATAAAATCATTAAATACTTGGAAACTATTCTTCACTATAAAGAAGATTTGAAACACTTGCCCAAACCCCAAATTAAAAGAAAAAGAGCATTTTTCAAAAATAAGAAAAGCAAATGGAATCTATAAGTAAAGTTGTAGAGGCGTGGATGGCATCGAGCCTTCAACTCCTCTATTATCTATCAGTTTAACTGTTCTCCTCTCATTTCCATTCATTGTTTTGAATAGTGAGTAGGTCTTCAAAGACATTGATTTTGTTCTTCAAGGAAATCGTATTGACCTATATTAAAAACAAAAATCACTTCAAGAAATCATCATTTTATTCCGAATTAAATTGATTTCATTCCTCGGGAAAATCATCAACAACAGCACAAACAAAACCCAATGCCAACTCTATAGGGGTCAAGATTTCGCTAGACCCTTGATGCATTGCTGCACTTACTACTCAAAAATAGAACCAATCATCCGCCAAAAAATTCTACCTGCATTGCCAGTAAGACCCTTTGTATTTCAAGAAGCTCTCTCTCAAGAATTTCCCCTTCCACAGCCAATGATCTAGTAGCCTCAGAGTTCCTCTGGGCCAATGCTGCAGTCTGCAAGCAAATGAAAGAGTAGTCAATAATACGAAGTGAATTTACTTCAATGGTCTGCAGAGGGTCAAAAAAATGACCCTTTTTGGGATGAAAAAACACTTCCATTATAGTGCATCTAAACGGCGGAAAATGTTTGATTTGATCCAAGATTGATAAGAATAATTGCCTGGGCAATAGTGTCCTTAAAGTTCCTCATTTTGATCTGAAAACGAGTTCCCAGCTTCTCAAGCTGCCTAGATAAGGCTTGAACTATCCTCTTGGAGCTCCGGGAATCTTCTTCCAGCTTCTCGATCCTCTCTACCAGATTGACCCCCTGGTAACCCTTACCGGACCTTGAAACCACCTCAACTTTACAAACTCTCCGCCACTGGCGCCTCCTAATTACAGCTCCGATCAACATTCCACCCGCCAACACCGCACACTGTCCCACCAGTAGCCGGAACCCTACCCAACTCTGCTGCCGGGAAACCCACCACCGCACCCCAACGGCAATGGGTACAGCAGCCGATACGGCCAAGCACAGGAATTCAAGAACCGATAAGAGAGCATCGAAATTGAATCCTTTGTCGGGCAGATTTTCCCCGGGTTCTTCCAATTCGAAACCCGCAGCCCTGACGGCGTAACTCTGGCGGGTCCTGAGGAAATCCCGACCGGAAAAATGAGTTCTTGGAGCTGCTTGGACTTGCAGGGTGAAGGGTTTCGGAAAGAGGGAGATGACGTTTCGGGAATTCTGCGGACGAGTTCGCCGGCAGCAGCAGATGAAGCCTCCGATCCGGCAATGATAAGGTGTCAGCAGATTTTGGGACATCGTCGTTGCAGGAGCAGTGTATGGATGCGGAAAAAATGGAGATGGAATTTAACGGGTCGGGTCAATGGGAAACACTGTCAAATGAGGGGATTTTAGTAACTGGTTGACGAGTGTAGACTGTAGACTGGAAGAGAAGTAGACGGGGCAATGCTCATTAGCTTGTTCATACACTTTTCCTCTCAAATTAAATTCAGTTTCGTAATTGAAATTATTTTTAAATTTTATTTATTTGAAAATTACATTAAAATTTCTACGAAACAAGAAAATGAAAGAATTATGATCATGTGAATAGTATACATAAAACTTAATTTTAAGTGATGAGATTAATTAATAAATTTGCCTTTGATATTCACACAAAAAAAACTATGCAACTGATCATATTTTAAAATGAAATCAATTAATTATTTTGTTCATATTTTGAAAAAGGACAATACTCTTCTAATTCTGATATAAGAATTTGTAAGATAAGAAATTAATTTTTCAAAATCAAAGCTAATGGTTGAGAAAACAAATACATTTCAATTCATTATTCAATATAGTCGATACTCCGAAACAATGAGAGTGACATAATATTGAAGTGCCTGATAAATACCGGAGTAATTAGATTTCTTACAGTAGGACTCGAAAAAATATACTTTTCATGTTTTTCATGAGACAAGTCTTAGCACACATGGTATATAGAGGCTTGAAGAATGCCTAAAATTGGGAGTTGCATTTAGTAATTTGGAGTAGGCATGTTAAGTAGGAAAGTGTCACAACTAAGGAGTATATGTGATGTGAGGCAATTCAAAATATGCAAGCACGAGGTATAGTTTTGGAAGGGTGCCAAAAGTAGAAAGCCACTTCAAGTATTTTGGATCAATCATCAAAACAAAGATAAAGATCAAGAACAACAAGAAACGAATGCAAATACCGTGATAAAAATCGAGAGTCGTTTTAGGGAAGCCTTAGTGATGACTTCACATCAACACAAGATTTCAAATTTAAGAATGGTTAACATAGAGAACAAGCATTGTTTATACAACATGTTACTACGAATTCTCCTTTTGTATGAAAAAAGCTTGCAGAGAAAACAAAATGTAACGCTGACAAGATGACGTAGCAAACTTACAATATAAGCTAAGCATAGGCCTCATTTGGGAACTACATATTCAATTAGCGTTTATATATTATACTCCCTCCGTCCCCAATTTGATTACAAATTGAGATTTACGAGAAAAAATTTCTCGGTTTTTAAAATCAGTTTATTTACAAATCGATAAATCAATAAAAAATAAAAATCACATATTAAAAAACTACGTCAAAAGTTCTACAAAACAAGAGATGACAAAAATATTTTATTTTATTAAATACTTAATAAAGTCGCGTAAATAAACAAAAATTATCGAGAGAGAAAAATTACAATCAAAATGGGGACAGAGAGAGTATTATTTTTTAATAATACAAACTAATTTGAAAACATCAAGCAAAACACTTTCATTAAATAACAGTTTCAAGGTTGCTAAACAAGTATTCAGTATATAATAGATCAATGAAGATGACAACAATGGCGGAGGAGATCTACTAAGAATCTAGAGGAATGAGAGGTTTGGACATGATAGTAGAAGGTCATCTATAGGGGTGTTATAGTTATCTTATTGTAAAACCATAATTGCTCTCAAAAGATAGACTTTTGGTATGCTTTGTTGCCATATTAGGGTGTTATATAGAGTAAAAAGAAAAAAAATTATGTTTGATTAGAACTAGGTAAAAAAGGGCATATTTAATAGAGTTATAAACCAGAAAACCTGAATAACAATGCCCACACTAACACTACCAGTTAGTAGGATAGAATCTCAACTCTAAGACATCCATCATCAATCAGATGAGACCAAGTACTTCAAAGGACATATTTAGAAATCTCTATAAAAGGATAATAGAGTTAAAAAAAAGCAGGCTTATAACGAAGGAGGTTTTGAATTGCTCAGTTTCATTTGCACTTCAATAGTAAGGCATGTATCGCATTGGCCGCCTGAATCTTGGTACCCTCCTGCATTTTATGCACAAAAAAAAATCGTTCATGCCCTGGATTCATACGAATGTTTGAAAGAAAGTGGTGAATTGATGATACTTACCCGTATCCATAAGGGGAATAGAAGTAAGGAGGCACATAAGGCCTCCGAAAACCATATGCCATGTAAGGGTTGAAACCCCTCCCACGAAACTGTTTCATTCCAGGAACATTTGTCCTCTTGGGCATAACCTGCACGAGTTAAAGTAGGGAGAACAAAGTTAATGGCAGCAATTCAACATAGTACGATAGTAAACTAATTAGACATGCATTTCATGAGCACCCATTGCCATTACAGTTAAAAGAGTCATTATTGATAATATTTTAGCTTCAAGCCTTTGAGTGTATAGTGGACTAAACTTCCCTTGCTTTTTACTGTACTTTCTATGAAGTTCTTGGCAGTAAATGCAACAAGGCATCAAGGCCCACGCGCCTAATGGAAACAACCCCTCTACTCTTGCAAATGTGAAGGCAATGTAAATTGGATTGTGATTTGTGAATTGAATAACTCATGCTGTGAATAGATCACACTCAAGATTAAAATATATACAGACGGGGGGTGGGGGTGGGGGCACAACTTGTACCTTCAATTGGCGTCCATGCAATTCAGATTCGGTCAGCTTGATTGCTTCCTGAACGGCTTCTTGTTCAAGGAATTCGACATATGCAAAGCCCTTTGGCTGGCCAAACTTGTCTGTCAGAATAGTGACTCGGTTCACTGTACCACATGCTTGGAAATGTTGTTGAACTTCCTCAGGGGTGCATGCGTAATCAACCTGAAAGATAACATTAGGTATAAGAATAACTATAAAGATATACGGAGTATATGTCAACAAACAAATAACCATTGTTTGTCATGAGAATAATATCTTTACATTTAACGCCTTCAATGAAGTAAAAAATACAAACACTCCTAATATGTTCCTTGCTGCTATAGTAATACCAAAGGCATTCCCTTCACATGCTTAAAACATGAAAAAATCAGGCCCTTCTCCGACCGCTTATTAGCTAAAAGAATATATAATCATTGCAAGTTTGGCTGTCTTTAAACAATTAAAGTTCCCACACTTCCCTGAGGAACACGGATTCAGATCCTGTCAGTGTAAGTTACTGTTTCTCTTCTTTTTCATTTTTCATTTCACAAATTCTTTTGCCTATTTTCTTTTCACTCGCTTTAAGCCAATGTGACTCCGTAATTTTATTTTCAGCAATCAGATTTTCCCCACCTCCTTTTTTGCTTGGAATTAGGCATTTTCTCAGGAATCGGGACTAACATCATTGAAATTCTTTATCTATCTTCCACCATAAAAACACGGGGTAACAGAGTCAGAGTCAATGCTATTCAATAACATCCATGTGATCATAGTCAGATAAAAACACGCCATGACTCTCAAGAAGCTAAAAAAAAGTTAGTGTTACGAAGAGAATAAAAAGCTTCTAAATAACCAAAAATTAAAAGAAAAAATTGATGTATGATGGTGAAACCGTGAAAGTTACCAGAAACACGCATGTGAACTTCACCCTTCTAGAAGGGTGAGTAAAATTAGGTTGAATTGCATCTTATACACAAACAAGCGACCATTATTAGTTGTAGAAATTTAAGTAGGGGTGCCACTAGGATAATAGTGGTTGTGTTCCATGATGTGTGTGTTGATTCTACACTTCAACGAGACATGACTATAACTCTCTCGATTCTTTATCCTATATAGACTATAGCATCTTTCTCAATTTATTGTCTTCATTATGATACTTTTATAGGATTATTGTTTAAAAGAATTCATCACTCAGAAATAGTCTGTGTACATCTTTTGATCCTCAGACCCCCAACAAAGTGGAGATTACATTGGGTTGTCGTTGTTGTTGCTTTTGTAAATTTGCAATTCACACTGAATTACTCAGTGCATGCCACATACTCCAACATTGTTGGGATTACGATGATGGTGATGACGACTACTCAGACAATGCATTACAAATAGCAAGACAAATATCAAAGAATAAGATTTAAACAAACTACTAGCCAGACCAAGAAACTAAATACAAAGCACAGAGTACATCATAATGCAACTCACATTGCCAACATATACTGATCGTGAATCAAGCTCCTCCCTGCTTGCCTGAGAAGCAGCATCGCTGGCAGGATCTACCCATAATAAGAAATGCAAATTTGGAAGAAGAATAAAGTATTAGAAGACATACCAATCTAATCAGACACGCAAAATAATTAAAATATGGAAGAATTTGATTAATGGCCGAACCAAATCAAACTATAAACTTCGAAGTTGGGAGTATTTGATACATACAATACGCGTGAATGAGAGAGCTTCAAACCCTAATAAAATTCCAAAAGTAAATTAAAGTAAACCACGCACCACCATGGACGGCGCACATCTCCTTCTCAACTTTGGCTTGCATTTCTCTAAGCGCCGCAGCTTCTTCTTCCATCTCCTTCAGACGTTTCTTCATCTCATCCAGGTCCTGCGATTTCCGTACGATCAACAATTCTATCCACAAAATCATCATCGAATAGATAAACGATCAAATTGAAAGAGATCATCGTCAGAGCTATAAGAGAGGACCTTAACGGCGCCGTCATCGGCGGTGGACATGTCGACCTCGGCGCCGTGAGCCTCCGCATCTCCGTCCAATTCACCTTCGATGGGGATTTCGCCTCCATAAACCTCGTGCTCCTCTTCCTCCATCTCCGTTTCTATCCAGTCTCCACAGTCCACACTCGCCCCCACTTGTGGCTAACTTTTTGTAAGGGTAAATTGATGTTGTTCTTAATGGCTGTTTGGCAACTTCTGAATATGTAAGTGTTGAATCAATAAGAAGTCTAAACCATTAAGTGTTGAACCAGTAAGAGGTCTGAACCATTAAGAGCTAGTATATTACTTAACTATAAAGAGGCAAATGTCTGATCAATTCAGATAAGAGGTCTTAACCATTCAGACTATGTATAATACTTAACCATTCAGAGGCAAAGGTCTGAGTCATTCAGACATCTGAACCATTAAGAGGCTGAAACAAACAGTCTGAACCATTAAATGCTAAACCATTCAGACATCTGAACCATTAAAAGGCTGAAACAAACAACCCCTTAATGTCTTGAAATATAAGGCAGACCTGAAAAAAGTGCGAGCTGGGCCGTCTTTAGGAGCAACTGAAATATTTTTTAGCTCAGCCAAGCTTATATAGCGGGTCTAACAGTTGAAGCCCGAGCCTGGCTTGTATGGGTACTCACGGACTTCGGGTCAACCTGGTGTGCATGGACAACAATTTCTAAATAATTATCTAAATAAAGTAATGTGTAATATATTAGATGTTTGATATAATAACTATAATGTGTATATAAAAAATAATACTCCCTTTGTCCCAAAATGTTTGTCACATTTGCTATTTCAACCGGCACGGGAACATTTGTTTGTTTGTACATTTTCATTGGTTATTTGATAAAATAAAATATTTTTGACACTTCTTATTTCGAAGAATATTTTCATTTAGTTTTTAAATATGTAATTTTTTTTATTTTTATAGAAATATTTAAAAAAAGAATTGAAAACACTTGAAGTTTTGCCTTGTATTCTTGAAATATGATAAACATTTTGGGAAGGATGGAGTATATAGTATATATAGATGTGCACCAAAGTTCAAGTGACATTGGATCTCAATGTCATAGGATGACCCATGGGTGCTCCGGTGCCCCGTTCGTAAAATTGACGGTTCCTACCCCCCTAATCCCCGCGGTAAACCCTCCCAACTCGGCCCCGACCCGAACACACAGCCCCACCCCCTTCAATTGCACCCCACAAGTTGATTTTGACTTTGGAGTCAAAATTTGACTCCAAAGTCAAAATCAACTTGTGGGGTGCAATTGAAGGGGGTGGGGGCGTGTTTGGGGCCGAGCCGGGTGGGGAGTAGGAACCGTCAATTTTACGAATGGGATACCAAAGTGCCCCCGGGTCATTCCATGACATTGGGGTCCAATGTCACTTGAACCTTCCCAATAAATGTGTTTTGTTTGATAATGTTAATATGTACTAGTATCATTTCTTTGAATGTCATTATCAATGGGTGATGCAGAGTAATAAAGATGTACTCATTTTGTCAAAACTCTTTAAGAAATAACTTTAAATAAGAGTAAAACATAGAGAAAGTTTTAAAATATGGGCTTCATGCGTTTATCCTAAAAATATGAGTTCGTTTTGTGATAATGTGGCAATGTATGTGACCATTTAACAATATTTTTTGGTAGTGCATATTATCATGTTAGTCGTTTTTTCAAACTCTTTTTCTCCTTAAAAATATGTATATGTGTTTATAATAAATTGAAATAGTATTGTGGTTTTTTAATTGTGAATATTAATATTGTTGTTATCATTATTTTATTACTCCCTTCGTCCTGAAATTATCTTTCGGGTATGACTTGACACGACTTTTAATAAAGTAAAATATTGGTTGTTGCAGTTTGTGCAGAGGAAAGAGAATTGATATGAACCACATATTTATTTTCTTAAAAGGAAAGAGGAAAAAAATTTGAGAAAACCCAAATAAAAAAAGAAAGATAATTATGAGAGGGGGGAGTATAATTATAGTAATAATAAACATAATATTTATTCAGATTGAATTTGTCCATGGGCTTGAGCATAAAATCTGAGCCCAACCCAAGAGTACACAAGTTGTTGTTTATAAAGCCCAACTCCGATTTGTACCCTAATATGTCAAGCTCAAACCTGTTATTTTGCTGGCAGACTGGATACCCGAGCATGTGATCGGATCTAATATAAGGGCAGGGCACTGAGAAGTCAGACATGTGGCCCTTTTGAAATACTATGTATGACCACCCATGCGGCTCCGAACCTAAATAGAAACCCTCTCTATGGGTATTGGTCGCACTTTCACCCTGCCTAAGATTGGAGTTGACATTAGTCATATGTGTCATAATATGACACCAAGGTGTTTTAGAAGTATAACTTACTCTCGAATTAAGTCCTCCCTAGTTTTTGTGTCACCCCATGTCCTTGTTCAGTATCATCGATAAAGACACCCCTCAAAGCCGAAACATGCACCCTTCTAACACACCTTCCATTCACATCTTATATCATATCATATCCTATCCTATCCTATATATATATGTAAAAGAGAGTGTAATGGTTATAGTGTTGACACGTGTCATACGTGACATGGCATTAAACGCCTACGTGTACAAACACCAAGCATTGATGTTTATCCTTCGCAATCCTCGCTTCAATTATAACCGGTAAAGACGCCCAGCCGTCATCTTACCCCAACGAACATCAAAACGCCAAAACAAACATCAACCGGTACAACGCAAAAACGAACATCTAAAATCATTACAAAAAATGAATCTCTTCAATGTGGTATTTCAAAATACAATAATGTCACTCTTCACATTTCACAAAATAAAAGGATACAATGTGGTATTTCAAAATCCTACAAAACCAAAACATACACAATCCTTTAACAAATGCCCAAGCGTAGCATGGAAGAAAATCAAATCATAAATCAAACTCTCCATTTCCAACCATCGCCTCAATAACATTATAACAACGAGTCCTAATAACAAGCGCGTGCGTAGCACGTTGTAGAAAACTAGTTCAACTTAAATTCATCTCTTAATCATCCACAAATGTGGATCCTCTTATATTACCCCCTCCATCAAAAATCAGTAACTCACATTAGATTCGGCAGAAAGTATAATAAAAGTAAAATTATAGTCCATATAGTTCAAAGTGATGCAGAGTAGATTAAAATATGAGCCACATAAACTTTTTTCAAGTGGAAAGATTACTATTTTTTAGACGTTTTAAAAAGATAATAAGGATTATTATTTTAGGACAAATGGAGTACTTTTAGAGTCCATTTAGACAAAAATACGACTCTTCTTAAATTGTCTAAATTAGACTAATGTCTCATTTAATAACAATGTTTCTAATAAATATTGGGATTTTTTAATCTTACACCACTTCAAATGGTTTATGCCCGTGACACCAATTGATTTGGGATTCCTACGGTGCTTCGTTCGTAAACTTGGTTGTTTTTACCCTTCTAACGCCTCCAACGATTTGAAGGCTATCTTTGAACATTTACCCAAGAATTTCTCGGCAATCCTTAACCTTCTATACAAAGATTTATATGATTATCCTCGACCCTTACAATTGATGAAGAGTGTGTCTAAAAACACATAAAAATGTTCAACACATTTTGGCCGATGATAAAAAAAGATCAATTCTTGACCGGTGAAGAACGGAGATTATACTCCTAAAAAAATACTCGGTATAAGATAAATCTAATAAATATGAGAGTACATATGTATTATCACAAACTCAATGTGTGTGAATAGACCTGGCAAAACGGCCGGGCAGGTCGGGTTCGGGTTCGGTATAATCGGGTTCGGGTTATTTCGAGTTCGGGTCACTTCGGGTTCGGGTCTAAGAGTGCTTGTTCATTACCCAAAGTTATCGGGTTCGGGTTGACCCAATGGGCTAAGTGGCGTATTTGAAAATTAAAGAATTTTCTATTTGGAGATCATGTGTCCGAGCATTATTCAAAACAAAGAACGAAATCATAAAAGTTTGCATTTCTATTTGCAATATACCAAAAGAGAATTGCAATATACCCAAAAGAATCACCTTTTTGCAACATACCAAAAAATTGCACTAGATGAAAAAAATTGAAGATTCTTTCAACATACCCAAATATATATATATGTTATAAAAAAATTGAAATTCTTGTGTCATACCAAAACAAAAGAAAAGAATTAAAACTTGAGTTACACGTATGAGTAACTGAAGAGGATGCAATAGGATTAAAAATTCCACTATTATTATCGTGTCTTCTCATCATTTTGATTGAGTCGGCATCTAATAATAACGAACGGTGGAAGAGTTGAAAAACGATATATATATATGTATGTATGTATGTATGTATGTATGTATGTATGTATGTATAAAGAGAGAGAGAGAGAGAGAGAGAGAGAGAGAGAGAGAGAGAAGGGTGAGAGGGACTTGAATGTTACTAGATTTAAATTAGGTTTTGTGTCTTTTGAATTTTGAGTAGCCTAATGGTATATCATATTTTAAATGAATATATAAAACTAAATACGGAGTAACTAATAAAAATAAAAAATTAAGTGCATAACCTGTCGGGACAAACCCGACCCAACCCGTTCTGATCCGAAAATTTAACGGGTCTTCGGGTTCGGGTCACAAAATCAATGTGCAAAACCCGCTAATTTCGGGTCGGGTTTCGGATTAGTAACGGGTCGGGTCAAATTTTGTCAGGTCTATGTGTGAATAAGAATGAAAATAAAAACAAGGCTCCTAGAAGCCAAAATAAGAAGATTAAAGAACTAAAAGATGAACACACTTTTAATATCAAGATGGGAGATCAGAGTTTGGATTCTTGTGAAAATATAAAGGATTATGGCCCTATTTATAGTTGAGAAAGATTAGTGAATGTTGATGACCGTTTCAGGGTGATTAGGATTTATCAAAGGTAATTAAAACTTAAATTTGAACCTCTAACAGTCAGATGGTAGCCATGTACTGTACCGTAAAACCGTAGTTCTCTAGCGCCACAAGCATTTGCGTACTAAAATCACTTCGCAAACTCGGATGGACACGGTTGTAACCTTTCGTTAAACGGTAGAGCAACACCATAACAAGCATTTCAGTAATGGAATGTGATTTTTCTTGGGACAAATCCTTTTCAAATTGGTTTAAAACATTTTGGATATTTAAAAGAGATTTTGAGATGGTTTAAACATATTTTGTAAGTGCATTTGAGCTTGTAAATATAGGTATATAAAATCATATCCTTACATTTATTTCTATCTATAGTATATGCTAGTTTGGTGTTTCAATTTCATTTTTGAGAACCAATTCTTAATGGATTTTTGTTACACTTAAAACACTCAAACAAACATTAATTCATATATTATTTGTCAATATCAAAACGCGAAATTTAGCAAATACAGCTAAGAAAGAACTCTCTCATTAAGACTAGATAGATAGTGTCATTCGCTTACAAACATCGTGTTTGATCCGTGTCATTAAGGTTCGACAAAATTTTAGGTTGGTCGCCGAGACCTAACACAACCCCCTCATCTTTTATTTGGATTTAGGAGCTAGTTACATACTTACATAGTCAGAGTTAATTACATTTTAAATCATCGAGTAAATACCCATCATCCCTATAATAGATTAGATCAATATTCTATACATTATCACACAAAAAATCGAGATAGATGTACTTGCAATGAATTGAAATAAATGTAGTACTCCGTATTAGTTAGAACATGTTCTATTTAACTTATTTTTATTACTTATTCATATTCAAATCACTACAGATCAGATCAAAAATAGTTTTAAATATAACTACATTCAAATTAGATCGAATCAAACTAGATCTGAACATATTTCAATCAGATCAGAATGATTTATATTAGGTAAAGAGAACAAGTTCTTAGTCTCACAAATATAGTTTTATTCTTTAGGGCCCGTTTGGTTAGGGGGAGGGATTACTGGGAGAGATGGAAAGGCGTTGAAGTTATTATTCCAACCTTTCGATATCTTTTATCTGTGCGTACATTATTATTGATTATTTAATAAAGTAAAAGAGATATGTTACCGTTTGTTTTGTGGAATTTTTATAGAGCTTTTAAATATGTAAGGTATACTTTAGTTTTTATACTAATTTGTAAACATTCATTTTTAAAAAGATGAGATTTTACACGTTACTCAAAATAGAACAATAATTTTAGGACGGGGTATAAAACTCAAAAGAATTAAATTGCAAGGGGACTTGCATGCAAAAATATTCAATTTTTTAATGATACTCCAAGTATTTACAAACTAATTTTGTAAAGTGTCATTTTATTATGATCTTAAGATTCACATTTAGAATATAAACATTCTCACATTCTCCGTATTTTTCACGGATATTCTTATTTTTATAAGATTCAATAAATAAAATAATTTTACATTTGAAAGTCCATAAAATAAGTGTGCAATTGAAGACTACAAAAGAATTGGTATACCTTAGAATTGAGAGAATGCATATGGTACAAATGGATGTACGATACATCTGACTAGTACTCATTCTAAAGTAGAGTAGTATTCATTCTCGTAGAAATATAATTAGTATGGTACTCATTCTAAAATAATGAGGTACTCATTCTAAAATAATGCAGTACTCATTTTCAGACATTGGTTCAATATAATTATAATATTCATCTACAAATAATGTAGTGTCCATTTTAAAACAAAATAGTATTTATTCTTAAATAAGTTAGTGTTTATTCTCATATAAAATAAAATTCATACCATAAATAATTTCTTAGTTGTACCTAAAATTAGGTACAACCCGATATATAATATAATTTGGTTAGAAGTGAAGAGTTAAACAAAATTCCTTTTTTTGGACGGTAATTCGTTTCTTTTTCATTCTTCTTGTAGTCCAAAAAGTCAGTGTGAGCTGTAAAGCGAACGGGTCAACGAGATCTCCATAGTCAAGATCTACGGCAGCAGCGTCGTCGGTTCACATTTTCTCCCGTCTCTGAGCTTCCGATTCATTCATTTTCACTCATTCCCCAACACAGCTACTGTTACAGAAGAAGAAGTAGCGGGGAGGAGAAATGGGAAGCGGCGGCGGCGGCGGATACGGCGACGGGGCGGCGCAGAAGATAGACTACGTGTTCAAGGTGGTGCTGATCGGAGACTCGGCGGTGGGAAAGTCCCAGCTGCTTGCACGCTTCTCCCGGAACGAGTTCAGCCTGGACTCCAAGGCCACCATTGGGGTGGAGTTCCAGACCCGGACTATGCTCATCGAACACAAGTCCGTCAAGGCTCAGATCTGGGACACCGCCGGCCAAGAACGGTATCTCTTTTCTTCTTCTTCTTCTTCTTCAAATTCTACTTCACTTCAATTCAAGCAAGTCTTCTAGTGCAAACTCCTGTGACATCCACTTGGTAATCTCTTCCTATTAAGAAGCATGGCCTGATAAGGAATGTTATTTGACTGAATCCCCAATAAACATATAATCTCATATCAAACCCCCAAGCTATTATAGAAGAAGAATTACTCCTCCCATTGCCAATTAGTTTTGGGATGGAATCTTGTAACTCTATAGATATTGCCAATTCTCATAATTAATGAGATTGTGTTTGTCATTTGTATGATTTTGGATCAATTGCAATAACAAGCAGATATAGAGCCGTGACGAGTGCATACTACCGGGGAGCGGTTGGGGCTATGTTGGTTTATGACATAACAAAGCGTCAAACATTTGACCACATACCGCGTTGGTTGGAAGAGTTGCGGGCTCACGCTGACAAGAATATAGTCATCATTCTAGTTGGAAACAAAACTGACCTCGAAGGGCAGCGTGCTGTTCCGACTGAGGATGCCAAGGAATTCGCAGAGAAGGAAGGGCTGTTTTTCTTGGAGACTTCTGCGCTGGAGTCGACAAATGTGGAGCAAGCATTCACGACGGTGCTTACACAGATCTTCAACATCGTGAACAGGAAAAATCTCGCAGCTGCAGCTGAGAATGGAGGGAATGGGAATCAAGGATCTTTAACAGGGAAGAAGATCTTGGTGCCTGGCCCTGCACAAGTCATCCCAGATAAGAAATCAATGTGTTGTAGCTCCTGAGGTGTGATGATCGGATTATACGTTTCTGCTGCCACTAATATCTGTTGTAATTTGATTTTGTACATCTTAAATTTCATATATATATATTTTTTTTACTTTCACAAACTGTTTTGTACAATGGATATTGTTGTATACCATTGTGCATCTCCTTCCTTTTGGCACTGCTTTTGCTATGATTAATTTACACTTTTATTTGTTTACTGTCATCCATCTTTCCCCCTAAATCATTGGTCTGCATTCTTGCATCGCCACCAGTCCACCACATTAATTACAACTTGATTAGGACTTGTTTACTTAGGGTAGCTGATCAATTCAGGATTCCATTCATATAATTAACACTAAATTCAGACTAACATTAATCTCACAAAACAATTAATTATGAAATCTCTCCATATGAAATCCACATAAATGAGGGTAACTATGTCTGCAGAGAATCAGTAATATCTTGCAAAACAAAATCTCAATGTAAATGGTGAGTAAAATAAATTACCCTAAACAATGGGGCTTTCAGAATTTTCTGTACTTTCAGGAGCATCTCTTGTCTGATCTTCTGCCTCAACAAAAGATTGGGTGATTCCATGTAAAGATGGCATCAACTCTGCTCTTGTGTACTTAGACATTCTTTCTAATAGTTCTTGACATTCGAGCGAAGAGACCATCACAGATATGCTAGTCCCTCTCCAGCATGCAATTGCAGTCTTCTGATCTGTAAAATCAGATAAGGCCTTTCAGAATGAGGGCATAAAAGCCTATTGCTCCAAGACAGTTAGAAACACAAATATGCCTGTATTGTCTAAAACCACCACACAGCAACCCAACGATAGGTTTGAAGCCTTTCCTCCGGTGTTTGAATCAACAAAATCGGCGAATTTGATGTTTTTGTACTGCAATAGATGTTTGAAGTCTACTAGAGATGTGCATAAAACTTGTTTTGTTATGTGTGGCAATAGAAGTGGCACTCCTTCAGATGAAATGCAAAATGCGCATGGTGCAGATGCACCGTCTTTAGATGTTTGTCGTTCCTAAAAGGAAAAAAATAACTGAAATTGTCACAAAATGCTCTGTATGAGGATAGAGACAGTTATCCATCGCACATACCCACACTATTTTTTCTATTGATTTTAACACTTGTAGGTACAACTTTTAAATTTTGGTAAGGTATAACTTTTCATATAAACAATAATCAATGATGCCAATCCAACCAGGTAGTATCAAAAAGTAAGAAAAAGAAAATCAGTGTTAAGGAAAACTTACAAACATCTTCAGACCAACTGAAGCTATCTTAAGCTGCTGCTTGGCAAGAAAATTGAGTTCAAGAACCTCCTTCACAGACTTGGATACGTAGTAGATTCGCTTCACATTGTTAACATCACTGTTTCTGGTAATGAGATGCCCATCAAAGGGAAAGGTTTCTTTTATGCCATAAAAATCTCGAATCTTATTTGTAACTTCATTTTCCCTGTAAAAGATAACTGGGTCAACCCCTCTCCGCTTGCCCTGTGTTTGTAACTTCCGTTTTCTTCCAGCCATTTTAGGACTAACACTAGTATAATTAGAGGGGTGGACATCATCATCAACTTCATTTTCTTGAGATGTTTTAACAGAATTATTATAAAAAGCAGCGTCATCTGTTTCTTTATCAAGTAAATCTGCATCTTTAGTCCCTTCAGGAAGTTGAATGCCTCCAATATCTGCTGACTCTGCTTCCACCCCTTTTGAAGCATCCTTGATCTCAGCAGTTGACTTCTCAACGAGGTCTTTATGATTAACTAAATGAATAAACATGAAGTTAAAAAAATAGCATTATGAATGCATAACGCTATTGTCGGGTCGAAGGGGATTTAATGCCGGGCACACCGACTCCCGATCGGGTGGATCGGCAGGGGCGGTGCTGCCGATCAGCGACAATGCCACATGGCCATTTTCGAAGGCCACAGCCAACGGCCTAATAAGGTGGAGACAAGGTCATTGGACATAAAACGTTGCCATTATTTTTTTTGCATCGATTAAATTTGAACCTGACACAACAAATTTTCTGTCACAAGTCACAAACTTCCAAATAGACGCGGATTAGGGTGGCCATGCCAACAACCCAATTGAATTCAACGAGAGTAGGGTCTGTGGGCATGTGTACGCATACCTTACCCCTACTTAAAACTAGGGAGGTTGTTTCCAAGAATCCCCTGGCTCGAGTAACATAGATAGCACAAGATTACAAAAGACATATGACACAAAGAAAGCACAGAGTACAAAAAAAGCAAAGAACAAACTAGTAGTAACGAAGGAAAAACACAACAAGCATAAAAAGCACTCAACAACAAGTGCGAAAACTACCGCCAAGCCCAACATGCCTACCCAACAACTCAAATCCTAACTCTCCTAACGCTCCTATCTAAGGTCATATCCTCAGTAAAGGCCGAAAGTCCTAGATCTTGTCTAATCATCTCCTTCCAATTCTTCCTAGGTCTACCCCTTCCCCTACTCCTACCCTCCACCATAAACTTCTCACATCTCCGCACTATGGTCTCAACACTCCGCCGCCTCACATGCACAAACCACCTCAACCCAACTTCCTGCCGCTTATCTTCCACAGACCGTCTTTGAATAACCTCGCTCCAAGACCTATCTATCTTCGTTTGTCCATGCATCCACTGCAACATGCAGTTGACGAATGTAAACCGATAGAACTTACCTTACATCCTAGCTGACCTCCACTTAGCCCAAGCAACTCCAATACAGTGTACAACATACCCGTGTAACTCCCCATCCACCTGAATGACCGAACCTAGGTCAATGGGAACTATTTACTAAATTAACCTATTGAGCCAAAATGACTGTTGCAAGTTGGCACTTGGCATATTATATACTTCTTCCGTCCCAAAAAGATGTTTCCATTTTGACTTTTAGGAAATTTAAGAGAGGGATATTTTTGTGTTGACTTTCCAAAAATACTTTTGATGTGATGGGTAAAAGTAGGATGTGATGGGTAGATTATTACTCCCTCCGTCCCCCTGTATTTGTCCACATTTGACTTTTGGAACTGTTCATCTAAGCACTTTGACTCATCAAATTCTCTCAATGTGTAAGCCTAAATATAGTCATGTGTGATCTTCTTTGATTTGTCTTAACATATAGATTATTAATATATAATTTTTATAATTTTTTAATATACAAATTACAAGATAAAATGGATTAAAGAAGTGCATTGGATGGTGTGCAAAAATGAAAGTGGACAAATACAGGGGGACGGAAGGAGTAGTAAAAAAGTGATGTGATAGTCAGGTTAAGAATTAATAGGATAAAAGTTGGTTTTTAACAGAAATGGGAAAGATGTTGTGGGATAAGTAAAAACGAAAAGGGAAGGAGATTTTGGGACGGTAGTTGCTTAATTCGAAAGAGTTCTCCAAACAGTAGAGAATGACCCATAAATTTATCAACTAACAGTTTATACTCAGATTAAAAGCCATGCAGCGGTTGGCATACCCATTTACTTTTGGGATGCATACCATGCTATTTCTTTGGCATGCATATGCAGCATATGAGAAGCAACGAGCCATTGACGTCAAATATGTACCATTCCCCCCTCGNTAACAAAAAAGGAACATCTACGACCAAGCTATAAAAGTGCTCCAAATAATCTACTGCCAGAAGGCCCAGAACTGAACTAAACAAAAACAAGTATTCACTATTCAGTACTTCCATAGTACTTACATGACGGATTTGAAAGCTTGTGAAAGACAGCAATAAAGAAAGCCCCGGTGTTCTGATCATGAGGCATTATCCTCATACAGCGTTCTAAAGGTAATGTGGACACTTCCTCTTCCAGGGTGTTAGTGGGAGTTGGTTGTTCGACTTCCACACTTCTTAAATTCCAGTTACAGCCATCAGCACATAATTCAGTACTGGTCACTTCATCCATAGATGAATCCACATGGGTCTTCCTAGAAGGAAACATTCCAGAAACAATTGAACCTCTTCAATGTTTCGGAACATCTTTGTAAGAAGTCAACCACACCCCTTTATCTTTAACCTGCAGTTTAAGTTAAATGATTATTAAAACACGTGTTATGCAGCCTACAAATGACACAAAAAATTATGGATGTTAATAGTGCCACTCAGTATAAGTATAGCACTTTTTCCCTGTGCAGAAATGGAATGTTTTCATGCAGCATTTGATTTGATTAAATTGCACAAAAAAAGTCAGTTTTTCTTTTGTATACACACTAATGTACTCATAGCACAAGCACACTCATGCGTTAACAGTTAGCTAGCAGTAAGCCATTCCAAATTCATTTAATTTGTTTGTAATTTGCTAAAATGTACTTCGCAGATGCTAAGCTAAAGACACCGAGAGGAATCAAAGGGAAGAAGTGTTCCTCTAGGAATTAGGCACATTGTAAAGCTAGAGAATCGGATCTTGACATGAATGATTACTACCAATGAATTCTAGGTGAGATTAATAAATACTCTCATATGAGTATGCTCATGTGCATGCGATCCATGCATATGAAATATGTAAATAATTATATATGCATAACATATACACACATATAAGTTCTGGCATGCCTTTTCGCTTATTCTGGGAAGTGGGAACAGCAAGCTATCAATTTTCAAGTCATGCCTTGCTTCTATGTAATCATATTGAGGCCTAACTCTGAATATTCATTATCTCATTTTAGATAGTGCTTGGCAGCTGTGATGCATGGAAAAATTGGAAACTCTTAAGATATAACATTTCTAGTTTTCAACATATCAGACTTTCTGTCTTGGGAAACTTTTCCCATTAAACTCTTTAGCTGCCATCCTACAACTTGCCAAACTATGTACAAACGCATTCGACCATTACTCGTAGGACCACTTAGAACATCTTTTAAAAGCAAAATCAATTGACCCCCCACCCCAAAAAAAATGACAGATATCAATGTATATACATTATAAAAGCTTGCCAAAGACCTTCCATCTCTTAAGACCTGGGCGGCGAATAAGATGAGGAAGCTCATTGGAGACATCAAGAAGTTCAACAGACTGTCCGCACCTATGCATAACCTGTGGAAAGAAGACAATCATGAACTTGCATTGGAGCATAATGATTGACATAATAGTGGAAAAGGATAGGTAAACAAAAGAGCCGTTAAATGTTGAAGGCTTGGGTAGGCCAGACCTAAAGTTACTGTTAAAATTGAAATCAGCAGCCTAAAAATTGAGGTTTGGTGATTATCTGGTTGAGCTAAAAACAGCTGCCAGTATGCCATAGGTACGAAAATTGATGAATAAGGTTAGAAAGGATCGAAAGGAAGTTGGAAGGAATCAAAAGGTGGATATGTGGAATCATTATCTGGTTGGACCAAAAGCAGAGAGAGATGTCAGAATATCATCATCAGAGCTTTACACAAACATATGCATGGACAAAGATTTGCCTGCATTTAACAACTTCTCCCCAATCAAAGATACTAAGGTGTGATGGAAAAAGGAAAAAAACTGCTATGTACTACTGCAAATTATACGCAATGTCAAACCAACACAAATACCTCTCTGAGCATTGCATTTCTTTTTCTCATCCAAATGCCATGAACTTAACACAAATAACCTTCTTAGAAATCCAAAACAAAAACATTCTCTAAGTAAACATAATAGAACCAAACATTACCTCAGCAACTACAGCTTCATTCTCAACAGGATTCATTGAACGGGTTGAATAAACCATTCGCCTACCAACTTTAAGCAAAGAAATACCTGGAATGCATGGGAGAAAAGCCATAAACTTAAGCATGGCTTGGTAGAACGGATAAAGTTATGGAAATGGCATTTCCAATCCAAGTAGTCAGCCAACACAGGCTTTACGTCAGTTTTAAATGAATGCATCTTTGTTGATCCTAAGGGTCTCCAGGCGGAATCTAAAATATCTTAGCTTATCTTCCTTATACAATGAGGTAATAAACCAATCAGAAAGCTTTACAGCAGTGAAAGTATCCAATCATGGTTTGCGTATTCAATCTGTCCACCTAAACGTTTTCATGAGAAGGGAATTAGAGAATAGACATGTTTAAACTTTGATGCGGGAAAAAAACAGATTTAATATTTGTAATGCAGATGACTCCTTCATTCTCTTTGAAAAATCTTATCGAGAGTTGGAACCATCCATGTTAAATGTATAAAACATGTTCCAAGCTCCAACATAAAGCTTAGAGATGGTTGGCACATGCAAGTTAAAGTTGTGCTAGACATATCAGCTGAACACACCACCCCAGCGCATGCACGCATACACGCAAGTAGTGCAAAAACACCTTGCATTGCTATCTGAACTTGTAGACCATGCAGACCATTGCCCATTCCTCCAGTCCTACAAAGGGAAAGAAAGGAGTAAGATCTAAGACACATATATTACAAAATGAAGAAAAGCTACAGCAATACATATTTAAATACCATTTATTCCAAATATTAGGTGCCTAGCGTAAAGTGCCATCCCCACTACACGGAACATCACATAAAACACGATCAAAAAGAAGCTGAGTTATATTGGGGTCCTTGAAATTCCTAATCTCAGAACTGTTCAGATGGAGTCTATCCACGTGACAGCTGGGAAAATGTTGTGCTTTATGATTTGTGACAATTAAGTTGGCATTGCACATTCTCTTTGTTTGGTGGATAAGAAGGTTGCACCTTTGCACATCAACATCATTTGCTATTACCTGTAAAGAGGAGCGTCGAGATAAACAACAAACATTTGCAAATGAGTGAACACACTTAATCAGACAGAAAAGATAGAGATACCGATTATGTGAAAGAGAAAGCACAGAGTAGCCAAAATGTTAAAACACATTAATAGTTAATGACCTAGATGTAGAATGGGAAAAGTGATAGAACAGGAGAGTACCAGTCCACTAGGTAATGATCCAGGTTCAGCCATGTGGGATATCATCTCAAGCAATTGAAATGTTTTGGAACCGGGAGCAGCACACACTGTACTTGTAAAGAAACAGTCTTTGCAGGTCAGACTCAGATCCTTCATATCCAAATGAGGGTACTTTTCTCTCAAAATTGACATATAAAAAGAAGCTTACTATCGATAACAAAATGATCAGGACATAAATCTAGGAACAGTGGAGGCACCTGAACCAAAGAAGTCAGAAAATAAATGTCAACTCCAGTGCATTTAAAGAGTACACTCTAAATAAAAAGGATTGTAAAGCTGGTCCACCATGCTAACAGCTTCCTGTCTTGTAATGTTTCCAATTTCATTTTGCAGTTTCAAGAATTCATGGAACCTGAAATTTTTGTTATTAAAAGCCATAAAAAACTGATTCGACAATTTCTAGCAATTGCATTATATAACACAATGCCCCAGCATATGAAGCTTTTGCATGCCATAGACCAGATTGGCCTCCCTGTATCAGAAAGGGTGTTTCGAAGTTTTCTTTCTTTAGATTAGATTTAAGTTCCAAGGTATGTTAAGCAGGACTTATTGTACAGCAAGTTTATATTGGAAATTCATTACTAATTTACTATTTATAGTTCACCAAGGACACTCCTGAAGAAGATTATGCAGACAGACAGTTTAATACTTTATTCTTGGCCATACTTTCTGTGGTACGTAGGTGGCTGGTGAGTTATGTAAAGAATTCTTTTTTGGAAAGGTGTGGCAAGGAAAGCTTATGATCATCAGCAATTTCCGGTTTCTTTTGCTTGTGTGTATCTAAAGCCTTTTTTGCAGGACAGTGTAGCATGATGTGAGAGAGAGACGGGTGAGGGGCTGGGGGCATCGATATCAAATATCTCTTCTTTAGTACTCCATAATTTTAAAAAATATCATGTACCTCTTAAGCGTCTTGTTCTTTCGTAACTGTTTCCGAGAGAAATTGGAATGCCAAGCTAGGTTGTCCGGGTACCAAGGCAAGGGTCTGATTGCCTCTACTTCACTCCCATCTGCACTCTGGGGATGATTTAGTTGAGTGTTTAAAGCTACATATATGGACTGTGGGCCATTAGCCTCAAACTTAATGCAGATACATTATATGATTATAATGTGTTTGCAGATAGGTGGGAGGGGGAGGGGGCACGAACCTCTGCCAGAAGAGAGTTCATGAAATCATCCTCCAACATCAATCTAATCACTGTATAGCACTGGCTACTGCAATTGGCCATCAATGAAAAAAGCAGATACATATACACGAAATAGCAAGTTTGTTTTCTAAAAATAGGCTACTTTAAAAAAATGCACATTGTCTATTTAAAAAACTAACGATATTGATGAGTTCAACAATGAAAAAGGTCCACGAACCACAATCTCAAAATGCAGAGAAACCAATCAAGGCTCATTCGGAGTAATTCATTCACTACATACAAGAAGATTTCAATCCAGAAAAAAAAAAGTCTAAACGTAGCTAAAATCCAAGTGTACAACCCTACAGCATATGCAGTGATTGATTCGGAGAGAAACTGAGAGGGACCTGGAATTGATTCTGAAAGCAGCAGGAAGAGGAGTCCGTAGATACTCAATGAAAGTCTCCCACTCTTCCGGCAGCACTATTCCTTGCTCCTGCACAATCGCAATCTAAAATCTAAATTGAGCCAACGCAAAAGTACGCGCTTACGGCGAGGGGAAATAACGATGGAGGTCGTCAATGCACCTAGGAGGAGCGCGAATGGTGGAGGCGTCTCCGTCACCGTCATCAATGACAGAGGGAGCGGTATCCGGCGGTAGGTCGGAATCCGGTGCCTGGAGTCTCCCGACGTCATCTCTGAGCTGCCGGAAGTGTTTTCTCTGCGTGCGAGATCGACCAATGCCTCCCATTACTATTCTTCTTCTTCTTCTTCTCCTTAGATTGCTCTGCTGCAGCCTCTCCGCTTAACTGCCCTTGTTCTTCGGAACAGAAAGGCGGGTAACATTTGGGCCGGAGTTCATTTTACCCGTTTAGGAGGGGGCACAAAAAATTATGGGACATTGGCTTCTTGGGATTTTATATTTCCTGATTCGCCGAGCAGTTTCTATATTTGAAGGTATAATAATCCAAGAGTTTAATTATTAAACTACTCTAAAAACTTTCTCAAAAAAAACTCTAAAAACTCGAAAATCATACTCGATTTATTTCATCGTGTAAGAGAGATATGCCATTTGAGATTGAAAGAATATGTTTGACAACTATGGGGAATTAAATTTTTCTAAAATCTCAAAATCTTTATTAACATTGGAGATAATTTGAAATGTTTGAGATTGAAAATCATTGTGGTGCTTTTCAAAATTTAGTTTCTGTTTTAAGTGGTAATCATTTTATTCTGTCTGACATACATGCTTTTTTTCAATATCATTTTATACATAAAACACCATTTCGAAAAAGTAGATATATACTGCTTCGACTTTCAGCTTTTGGTAAAAATCACTTTATTCATATGTTAATCACTCCCAAATATCTTCTTAAGATTATTTATTTTATTTTTTAAAAAAAATATTGTTGCTTTTTGTTTTCCAATTATTTCTTTCAATATTTATAGTTAAAACTCAATATTATATTGTACTCCGTAGTTTTCTTTCTTTTTCACTAAATTGTAAAATACGGAGTAATAAACTAACCTGAATTAACGAACTGTGTAAAAGAACATGCTAGAAGGGATGCCCCCAAATCATGGTGAAAGAATGCCTTGCTTTCACTCATTTTTTAAAATCATTCAATATTCAATTGCGAACCATATTCAGTTAGATTGGATAAAAACACACACCAATATGGCATTTTTTTTTTTTTTAGAATAACCAATATGGCATTATTTAGGGAAGTAGAACATAAGAAAACTCAAAATCTAATCTAAGACTCCAATATTTATTGCTCCCTTCGTCCAAATTTAAATCGTCTGTTTTTACTTTTGAGCATATTTAAGGAAAAAAAATAAAATAAATTTTTTGAAATTAACATTACTCTTTAAAATGAGTGACTATGAATTAGAAGATAAATGTGAAGGAGATCTTATTTTAAGAGTAATTTATATATTTTATTTTTAAAAGTTTACAATAACAACTAAAAGACAACTTATTTTGGGCAAAAAAGACATACAAACAATTTAATTTGAAAAAGTATTTTGGTCTCCCAATTTTTGTAAATTCGTAAAAAACGTGTAGCACTAAATCATTTGCTAAGTATGGAACTAGTACTTTGTGACATTAATTCCTTTTGTGTCACAAAGTACTACTACAAAAAAGATCAATTATACACAGATAACGAGCAGACAAATGCCACAAAACATGCTTTATCTGTAAAATTGGTACTCAAGGAGTATAAAAGATCACAAAACTCTCTCCATGCATAACGGAAACCAAAGACAAGAACAAAACTTTAGGGAGGACAATGGAAGAAATTGTAGGCAATCTATTAGGCTCATTCGGGAACTGGAAAGAGGAGATAAATAGCAACAAAAAACACCAAACTCAGTAGAAATGCCAGTCTAAAGTCTCAACATCAACTGTTTAGCAATTCTTCGAAAAAACTGAAAGTTCAAAATAACAATAAGGAGGGTGGGTACATGACATGGAATTTCATGGTTTAGGCAGCAATGGAGGGCTTAGAAGTAGCAGTGGAGAGACGGGACCTCTTCTTGGCTAAACTCTCAGAGCGCTTCTCTCTTTGCTCCTTCAACCTGCTAGCGAGCAGCTTCTGGTACTCCTGAGCTTCTGCCTTGGCCTTGACAACCCTCTGCTTCTTCTCAGCAATTCTAGCTCTCTTCCTCTGAAGAGTCAAGGGAGTCACCAGTCTCTGTATTTTTGGGGCTTTGCTCACCTCCTTACCTGTATTGCCCATTTAAGCAGTCCAGATGAAATATATGAGAAGCAAACAAATATTGTTGTTTGACATTCTTTAATTGCATGAACTTAAGCTTTGGCCATCAAAAATCCTTGATGCATGCTTACATTCCAGATGATCTGGAAAAATGGTGGTGCTAAGATGGTCTTTACAAGATTACTCCGTATAATTTATATACGGAATGACTAAATGAATCGCACTCAACTTGTTTGATTTTTTGAAAAAATAATTTGAAAACCGGAGTATTAAGCTTCATTATAATTAAACAAGGCAACATTTGTAACAGGTCATATTGGAGGAACAGAACATGTATACGTTAAGAGGGGGGAGAAAGGTAAAAGGGAAAGAGTAGGATTGAAATAGATATTTACTCTATTAAATGCTAAACAAGCAAATTATGCAGATCAAGAAGATAGCAAAAACTATTACCCTTTTTATTAGTAAATGTTCGGCGGTATGTGTTGACATACTTCCTCACATCATCATCCTTAGAGAGGTTGAAAAGCTTCCTAATCTTTGACGCCCTCTTAGGACCCCTCATCCTTGGCTTCTCCACATCAGTGAGGCCAGGAAGCTCATTTTCACCCTTCTTCACAATGACTAAATTCAGAACTGAAAGGTCAGGACTGACAATGCACCCACGTACTGACTTCCTTCTGCGCTCTCCGTTACGCCTTCCATACCCTCTAAAGCAAGGAGTACCTGCTCATTCTTGATATTATTAGTTTTTGACAAATGTTATCTGATGAGACCATGTTACTCAATCAGATGAATAATTTAAATACCTCTGTGAAGTAAGAGACGAACACGCCCTGGAGTCAAAACTCCCTGCTTCATGGGAAATCCCTGCTTGTCACAGCCACCCATGATCTTGAACACATAACCTTTAAACTCCTGACAATAAAAACATGCAAAATGTCATATACAGAGTACTTAGTATTATAGACACCAAAATAAATATGGACCGCATGTGAGAATACCTCGCCCAAAGCATCTCCATCAACTTCATGAGAGATCCTCTTCTCATAAAAGGCACGCCTGCATTGTTAAGATCTTGATAAATTCCTTATTAAACCATATAATGATAAGTAATACATTCCACCGCAACACAAGAATAGGTTAAAGAATGATCAACTACATGATAAAATGGCTCCGTTAATAAATTCATAGTGCATTGGTAAGATGAAGGAATACAGTATAGACCATCATGGACTAATTGTAAATGGTTGTGTAGTTGGTTTTTAGTGAAGCAATTGATTAGGGAAAACAAGGTCTTATGCAGCTTCAGTTACACATTGGTAGATGATGGTACTGCTGGTGCTCTATTTGTGGGAGAGTAAAAGATGGTTAGATATCATAATCAGTAAACTTCCCAGTTCTGGCCAAAAGTTGGGAGTTTGAATTTTCATTCCAAATCATCTACAATTGTATACCAATTGAAGTCTATAAACAACATTCAAATCTGTGAAAGAAGTGCTTTCATACTAATTTCGTGCCATAAATCAAAATAGAGACAAAGTATAAAGGGCCATACAGAGTTAAAACATCATTCATTTCAACAGATCAAATTAAACCCAATAGACAACTAATCAAAAAAATAACAGATGATTTCACTAGTGAGCATGTCATTGTACAGTTTTCTGAAAAAACATGAATCATAGACCAAATCACTTAGATATCTCTATGTAAATAGGTTGTTCTAGCCTCTGTTTCAGAGTAAAATGAATCAAAATAATACTCGGTAATCTATATGTTTCTAAGATGTTAATCAGCTGCGATTAGAAACAGATCACGAAGAAAGAAACAACGAATAACACATGCGAAAATACGATTAATATAAACCAAAATGAATCGAGTCATACAGCTTCTGCTCATCGTCAATCTCAAGCTTCTTCTGGCAACCAGTAGTCGGATTCGCGATGTTGAACTACATAACACCAAAATCAAACAAAACAGATTATAAACGTATACCATTCCGCACACATTATCCACGAACGCAGAAATGTTTACAGTCGCATACCTTCATCTTCTCTCTGGGGAAGGAGAAGCAGCGGCTGCGACAATCAGCTTCTCTCTCTGAGGCTCTGAGGCAGCAACGATGATTAGGGTTTTAATGGCCACAGCCCACATGAGAGTATTTATTCGTTTACTGTTGATTTCTTTGGGCTAGGGTTACTTAGATATGTGTGGGTCGAATATTGGGCTTTTCGCGATTTGTGTCCACATATCAAGTCCTTCAATATTTTTTCAGACTTCATTTTTTCCTTATCCATTTTTTTTCAAACTTTCATTTTCCCAATGTCCTTCAATAGTTTTTCAAAGTTCACCCCATTGATCATAAGTTTTGAAGCTTCAACTTATTGTTACTGCTTATTACTTATATTTATTAGAATCAGATCAGATTAGAAATAACTTTAAATATAATTACATTGAAATCAGATCGAAATAAATTAGAATAGAACTTATTTCATTCATATCAAGTGAGGAAAATAAGCCTTTCGCCATATCAAGCATCAAATATACCCAATTGACTTGGCCCATATTTATTAAATAAAATGTCCACCTTGATTGTTAATAACGTAGGCCTTGTTCTTTTAACTTGGAAAAATTTGCTTCCAATTTCTTCTAACTTCTTCCAACTCCTTCCGATTCCTTTTAACTTCTTCCAACAACAACTTAAAAATTTATTTACATATGATTAATATAAAATAATATTATATATCTAGATTTATAACATTTTACCCCAAACACAGACTATGATAAAAAAAATTATCTAAAATTAAATTTTTTATATATTTATTTAGATCATCATTTAATTCTTCCTACATTTTCTAACTCCTTCGAGTTTCTTCTAACACCATCTCGTTTCTTCCAATATCCAACTATGAAATTTCAATCCAAAGGAACAGGGCCTTAGTAGGTGTTTCTTTGTTCTTATAAGTTGTTAGAATTTATTTAAAACAGTTTTTAGCTTATAAGTCAGCTGATGACATGTTTCCGTATATTTATAAACTGACTTATAAGCTTAAAAAATAGGTCATGGCCACTTATTTTTAAGCCAACTTTTTTAATTTTCTCTATTTTGATCAGATTATTTACAAAATTTTTCTTCATCATTTATAAATATTTACAAACAATCTATCTATCATTTTATTCATTTTACTTCCACGAAAGAATATTTGACTTATAAACAATTTATTAGTTAAAAACTATTATCAACAATAATTTAATAAGCATTAGCTTAGAGAAACACCCCTTGATTATACTACTATAGGAAGTCATTTGACACGAAGATAAAGAAACTTAACAAATGTGTACTTACAATTTAGGTAACACTTATAAGATTATAAGAATATTCCCACAAATATCCAATTTTAAAAGTATACTTCAAAAATCAATTATTTTATTTTTTCAAATATAATTATTCCAGTAATTATTTTATTTTTACAAATATATTTCATCTATCATCTCACTTGTGCAATCATGTAGTGTACTCCGTTATGTAAATTACGTATTTCTCCTTCTACTTAAATACCAATCTCTCAATTTAATTATGACAGCAGCGGTTCATATTTTTGTTGGAGGATGAATAAACGATTATGTTTTTACATACGAAAACTAGAAAAAGTAATTTAGAAAGTATACAATATGATTGTGTACGTGAGGTGATAAGTGGAGTGTTTTATAAAAATAAAGTAATTATGGAGTAATAGTGTCATTAATCAATTTTCGAAGTATTCTTATAAAATCAGAGATTTGGAGTAATGGTATACATTTTTCCAGAGATTTTTTTAAAAATAATAAAAATTATAAATCACCAATTTCTTTTTTTCTTTTTAAAAGAAAAAAATATTCTGAAATGAATGACTAATATACTATTGGTATTGGGGAATTATTTTTTGTATATAAATTAATATTACCCCCAACCATCTCGAAAAAAGATGTTATTGTTGCAATTTACAACGACTAAAATTTATTTCAATCCAATTTATTTAAATATTGCTTTAATTTTTTTAAAAAAAAGTGTTGGGAAATAAAAAGTAAAAAAGTTAAAATTTGGTTAAAGGAAATAGAAAGATCGTGAATCACATATTTTTTTATTTATTAAAGTAAAGAAGTGATATAAGTATTTTAGAATGAATTACAAAGAAAACTAATTTTGTCTGCCTACAAACATGAATTTTCTTGATCATTTATCATTCTGTCCCGCACAACATAGTTAGTCTGATTATGAATCGATATAGTTTAAAAATATGAAATCGTAATATGACATTTAAAAGATCACCATAAATAGTATTAAAATATTACTCTAAATTAAATTTATCTTCTAAATAGAAAAATTGATACTCTTTGGTTTTATAAGTCATATTTTGATATAAAAACATTGATATTTTTGTTGAACATTAATATTTTTATTTTAGTAAATAAAACATAGTTTAGTTCTAGTTATACCGAGCCAAGATACCAAGTCCTATCTGCCTCCGGCATTAGGTGAGAGTTAATCTAACTTCCACTTTTGATTCCATCTCTCGGCCATTGAAACAACAATTTATGCATTCAGTCTTGGTCTTACTCAGAGTGAATGCTTTGGTCTCTAGAGAAAGATGTCAAAGTTCTAACTTATCATTTACTCTGATGAATTAGGAATTTTTCCTAATCCAATATTATTTGAACAGTACAAGAAAGCCCAAGCGGTCCTCTCTAGCGGTCCTCTCCGCGGTCCTCTCCGGCGGTCCTCTCCCGCAGTCCTCTCTGGAGGTCTTTCCAGCAAGGCTCTCCGCGGTCCTCTCCAGTGGTCCTCTCTAGAGGTCTTCTCCAGCAGTCCTCTCCAGTGGTCCTCTCCGGCGGTCCTCTCCGGCGATCTTCTCCGACGGTCCTCTTCGCGATCCTCTCCGGTACTCTACGCGGTCTTCTTTAGCGAGCCAGGGACAGATCTAGACTCAAATGGACCGCTCCAGCTTCAGAGGTCCCAAAAATGGACATATCTAGCCTCAAGTGGACTGTTCTAGCTTTAGAGGTCCCAAAAATGGAGAGATCTAGCCTCAAGTGGACTGTTCTAGCTTCATGGGTCCTTCAAATGGATGGATCAAGCCTCAAGTAGACCGGTCCAATTTCTAGGAACCATCCAAGGGACAGGGCTAGCCTCAAGAGGTCCATTCCAGCTTAAGGGGTCCCTCAAATGGACGGATTTAGCCTCAAGTGGACCGCTCCATCTTCATGGGTCCCTCAAATGTACGGGTCTATCCTCTAGTGGACCGCTCCATCTTCATAGGTCCTTCACATGGACGGATTTGGCCTCCAGTGGACCGCTCCATCTTCATAGGTCCTTCACATGGACAGCCTTGGCCTCAAGTGGACTGCTCCATCTTCATAGGTCCTTCACATGGACGGATTT